AAGATTGTATTTGTTTTGCCAAGTAAAGTTAAATATTTGTTAACTATTTTTTTATAGTTGGTTTATTGATTAAAGTATTATTGTATATGTGTTTTTATATAGATAATATTGGTAATGATATTATTATTAGTTTTAATATTTTTAAATTTAAATAGATCTTTATATTAATTTAATATATTATTGATTTTTTTTAGTTAAATTGAAGTTTGTTATATCTCTTGATAATATTATTATTGATTTGTTATCTGATTTTTTGATATTTTTAATATTATATACATAGTAAAGTGCTTTTTATTTATTATTACTATTAGTTATTCAATTAGGTAGCTGATTGTAATTTGTTAGAAGATATTAGATATTGGGCTAGTAAGTACTATTAAGTAAATTAATAGTTTTGTTATAATAAGTTGAGATGTTTGTTGAGTTTTTTAAAAGGTTTTGACTTGTCAAATAATATTGCCAAGTTTTTTAAGATGAAAGTACAATTGTAATGCTTTGAAAGAATATATATGTTAGAAATTATATATAGTAAATTTTTTGTTAAGAATATGTTAAAATATAGCAGAAATGATACTTGTTTAGATTTGATATCAAGTATATTCTAAAGATTTAGATATATTTGTATCAGAAAGTATATTGTTTGATTTAAAATTTAAGAGAATTTGGTCTGAGTAAATTTGTAATTGTTCTTGGTTTATATTTTTATAATAAAGTATTCTTTTATAAGTTTGGTTGCTATTCACTATTTACTAGTAAATATATCAAAAAAACCAGAAAATAATTAGAATTTTGTGATTACTATTAGTATTAGTATTTGGATTATTGATAGAAAATAAAGTAAAATATCAGAGAATTGAAAAATTAGTTCAGATATAGTTAATACTACTTTGAAATCTGCTATTTTGCCAGGTATTTGTAAAGAATTGAGTATAAGTTGCTAAGTCATATATATTATTATATTAAAAAAATAAAATAATTTATATTTAATAGAGAATAAGTACTGTATATGTCTGAAAATAAGTTACCATTTTGGCCAAAAAGCTATACAAAAATTTTGTGAGTAGCTTATTTTTGAATAAAAGTGTTTTTGCCAATTGCGAAATTTTTACTAAGTAAATCGACTATGTGTATTAAGTAAAAGTTGCTCAGGAGATAAAATTACACATATCCTGAAAGTTTCATATAAATCGTATAACTTTTTATTAATTGACTTTTGATTTTTACGTTCGACAAATATGAATTTTAAAGAAATTTTAAAAAATTTGTTGAATGTAACATGCAAAAATGTATTAATAAAAAGTTATTCGATTTGAATAAAACTTTCAATATATATGTAATTTGATCTTCTGAACAAATTTTATTTAATAAGCTTTGTCAATTTACTTAGTAAAATTTTGACTTTACTATAGAGTAACTACTAATAATCATCAAGTAGCTTATTTTCAAATATAAGACATTTTTATGTTTTTCTTTCAAAAAAGGAAGGTAGCTTATTTTTGGTAGTAGCTTATTTTCAGAAATATATGGTATAGGTTGTCATTAAAAATATTAAAGTCTATTATAAGAATAGGCTATAGATTTGCTGCAGTTACTTGTTAAATCTATCAGATAATAGTATCTTGTATTTGTAGACTTAATTATAAATTATTATCTGGTAGTTACTATTGATCATGTTATCCATATTAATACTATATCATGATATATTAATGTCTATTTCAAGTTCAGACTGATTCAGAATCTTAATATTTTCTTTTTTGGTTATATATCTTTTTTTTGTTTTTTAATGCTTATCTTAATGATTGTTTTAATCCATGTCAAAAAAGTCTTTAAATAAAAAAAAAAGAAAGAAAAGAAAAGAGAAAAAAGAATAAAAAAAGAAAAGAGGAAAAAGAATAAGAAAAGAAAAAATCACATAATCAATAAACTAATCTTTATATTAAATAACAATAATTTATATAATTAATATAAGTAACATGATCAATAACTACTTCTGGATAATATCATTATCAGGTAGAATATAGGTAACATTGGGTCAGCATCATTTAGTGACCATTTGATTAACTCTAATCATGCTACTTTATGGTATAACCTGAGCTAACAAATAGTCACTAAATGACACTGACCCAATATTATCTACATTCTACCGAATAATTATTAATTATATGATAGATAGACAGAAATAATTTTAAATTTAAAATCATGTTTGAATAAGAGATCTATTGCAATTGTATAGTCAGAAATAGTAATAATATTGTGTATATAAAGAGTAAGCTACTTGTTCATTATGATAGCTATGCATGTTTTGAAGTTATCAATACAAGACTAATAGTATATAAAGTATTTAGATTGTTAAAATTTAATATTAGCATTTTCATTAGCTATTTTGGTTTTAGTAATACTTATAATATTTAAATTTATTAGAAAGACAAAAGTCTTTTTATAATTATTGTTTAAGATTAGTATTGTATTCTTGTATATTATACATATAAATAAATATATTAACAGTTATATGATTTGTTATATGTAAAATTTTTAATATAGATCAAATGATTGATACACCTAAGTTTTATATATAAAATTTAGTTAAATTTTGCTTTTTAGGCTTATTTTACAACAAAGAAGTTGTTTATTTATTTTCTTGATATTATTTTACAAATTTTTTAGCATTTTAAGGTTCTTCTTATAAAATTTTTAAAGTATTTAATAATAAAATTAAGAAAAATTATAATCACAAAGTTGAACAATTTTTTTACAATTTTTGCTATTTGTTTATATAAAATAGCAAGTGATATATATTATTTATCCAAAATAAGTATTATGAAAATGTCTTTTAATTAATATTTATCTATTATTTATTTTGAATAAATAATATATATTATATATAAACCAAAAATAAAAATTATAAAAAAATACTCAACTTTATAGTTATGATTTTTCTTAATTTTATTATTAACTACTATTACAAGTGGACTGTAGCTTTCTTAATACAGCACAAGTAACAAAGCACACAGCTATAAAGCTCTATTGTGAGATTATAGCAGTGTAGAAGTGGAATGTAACTTCACTAAGGGCAGTTCGTGGAAAGTATATAGTTTAAAGAAAGATATATTTTATTTACGATATAAGACTTTAATTACAAGATATAATATTCCTATAACTAAAGGGTGTCTGTATCTAAAGGAGTGTCTGAGTCTTATCTGACAGGAAGGGGAAAAGCCAGAGTTTATATATTTTTTTCCTAAACTAATAAAACTAATACAAATAATAAGAAATAGTAGAAACAGTAAAAATAGTAGAAATGGTAAAAATGGTAGAAATAGTAGAAATAGTAAAAATAGTAGAAATAGTAGAAATGGTAGAAATAGTAGAAATGGTAAAGATGGTAGAAATGATAGAAATGGTAGAAATAGTAGAGATGGTAGAAATGGTAGAAATGGTAACCATTCTTTCCATTCATCACATTACGCGAAACTACTTAATAATATTATATGATGATATAATAATACAACAATAGAATAGAATATAATATAATATAATATAATAATAATACTAAATAATACTAATAATAAGAAATTTAGAAAACTCATTCTATAACATTTCTGTCCCCTTTAAAAATGAACTCTGTGAATTCTAACTTTACTCAACAGCATTATAAAGTCTTCTTCCTTTAATCCTTCCAAGTTAGTATAGATAATCATAGTAGTGGAATAGAGATAGATAGTCTACAGACTTGAAGGAGTTGGTAAATTCGGTCAGCACATTTCCATACTCTGGCAGCTCGTCGTGATCCTAGGGCTTTGCTAAGGTTTTCTCTAATCTTCTGGGTCTTCTAGTTATTATCATCAGCTTCTCTTTTTAGCTATTTTAGATAATAAGAAGTTTCTAGAATTCGAATTTGGTGATCACATAACTTTCTACAGCTCTCTTCTTTTAAGCACTTAATAATTTTTCGAAGTTTTTCTTTAAAAGTTACTTTTGTCAAAGGGTTTTGTTATAGAAAAACTTCATTTTTCTCTTCTGTAAAATCTTCAATAAATTGGATAAGGATTTCATTTTCTTTTTCTTGAGTTTGTGAGGTTTCTGTATTTTGCTGCGGAGGGTAGTCAGCTGATTCTTCTTCTATAGGTTTGATAGAAAAAGCAATATCGTCAAAATCTATATTTGGAAAATAATTTTCTAATACATCAACATTGTTTAAATGTTGGATAGGTAACTCTGGTTCTGTTACTCGTAAGAATTGTAGTGACATAATAATGTTTGTTTTATTATATACAACAATAGAATTTATAGTAATAATCAGGCTATTGTTAGTTGCAAGGGGGTCCTGGTTCCAAAGTACAAGAAAATTACTTAAAGTGGTCATAGTTTGAAGCTGTAATTGTTGTGGGCAGGGTTTCTATTTTTAAGAAATCAGGTTGGGTATTTCTGTTTTTAGAACAACTAACATTGAGGAACAAATATTTTGGAGATAAGGAATTATTTATAATATCTGTAGTAATACGAATTAAATTAATAGATTTACAGATTGTTTGCTTGTGTATCCCATATGGTAATGTCTTTGTCTACTCAATTTGTCAAACAAGTTTTTGTTTAACCATGTGTTTGGATCTAAAAATAAATTTTTTTACAATGTTTTATTAATTAAAAATTCTATGTCTGTCTGTTTCCTTAAAAAGTGAGGTCTCCAAACTACATGTACTAATTTATCTAAAATTAGCTTTATTTGTTTTAATTATCTATAAATTTCTTGTTTTAGCAATCACATTGTCGAAGGTGATTGTTTTTCTGCAGGTATCGTGTGATCCTTTTTGTGGGGTTAGCGATATTTTTCTTTTATTTATTCATTGATTTTTGGTATTTGTTGTATCCAAAAATCTTCTATTCACAACTTTCTGGTTCTTATCTCTCTTATCTTTTCCCTTTTTCTTGTTTCTATATTTTTCTAATATCTTCGTCTTTTGTCTGTTTTTTTTCTATTTATCTTGCTGTCGTTCAAAGGTGTGTATACTTGTTCTGGCCGTACGCTGAGTTTTATCTTATTAGGCACTTGGAGGC